GAGGATGAAGGTGGAGGGTACTTGAGGTAACCCCCGAGACGCCTGCCCACTGCACTAACGGCTTCTTCAAATGTTACCTGGCTGTTACCTGAGCCAAGCTGGTCCGAAGCTGTGCTTCTGTTTCTTCATACTCTTCAGGCCTTTTTAGTCGTGCCGTCCAAGGTCCAAGGGGAAAGGTGGGCGGCGAAAGGAGGAGGAGAGGGGGGGGGGGGGCAGGGGGGCACGGGAAAAACGTCAAAAAACAGCAAAAAGTCGGAGGCAGAGGCCAACAAGTCAGGGGGGTGGAAAATGGACGCAAAAAGCGGGTGGGTCCAACCGTTTGTTGCAGGGATGAGGATTACAGTAGGTGGAGGGTACTTGAGGTAACCCCCAAGACGCCTGTGCATGTTCAGGGCCTGCAGCATGCACATGGTATTGGTTGGAAAGACCAGGTCCCATGCGGTCCCAAGCTAGCGAACGGCAATGCACGTGAATCCCAAAAATATTGATGGTCTTGCAGGAGCTGTCGTTTACCAGGTCAAAAATGTGTGCGGGTCCTTATGTGGTCGTCTAGTAATAGATAAGGTGGGGAGAGGGCGGAGCCTTCACACCATGATTCAAAGGCAACAAGGACAACCCCCCTTTGTCACAATCCCGTTGTTGCGTGATTGGAAATAGGTGGGGAGGAGGCCCGCTGCCCCTCTACCTGAAGGTCCCTTGTCCAGCATTTGTTTGAGCAGTTTCTTGGGCCCGTGAGCCCTTGGGCCCGTGGACCCGTTGGTCATGGTTTGACTGTGCTGTCCCTGGGAAGGGCCCTTCTCAGCGATTCGCAGTGCATGGCTGCAATAGATTCGCTTGACGAGTCGCCCCACGTTCCACGCTTGCCCTAGCTTTCGTGACCCGTCTCAAGCCAAAGATCGAAACATGCATTGGAGGCTTAACCGCAAGCCTTACGGAAATGCTTCGTAGACAGCTTGAGATTTAAGATGATTTAAGTTCCTGGAACTCAGACCAAGTTCAAATGCATGGTTGAAGGCCTGCTAAAAGCATTAGGCCCCAGCGTCAACATATCTTGTGTTCAAAACCGGCAACGTGGGGCAGGCTGGGAAACGTTGTGCGAGTGCCGGCTGCAGATTTGCCTACCGCCTCTTTGCTGCTCTCTAAAGTCGACAGTTCGTTCGTGCACAACCGAAACTTGACAGTCTTCAGGACGGTCGGGCCTTGCAGTTCCAGTGAGTGCGATGTGTGACTTCAGCGTCTTGAGTTGCGCTCGATGCTTGCAGGATATCCCCTTGATCTCAAAGTTTTTGGAGCTAACGCCGCTGACATCAATTGTTCCAGCTGTCGCGCTCCGAGTGCTGAAGAGAGAGTTTGGTATTCGGAATGCTGCTGTCGCACGGAACCCCTGAATGCATTAGAACTTTCGCCAGGCTGGGAAGCTTCTCTTGCGAGTCCTCAGGCCAAGTGCAGTCGGTGATAGTCCTCATGAGTATTTGCCTAGGGCCGCAAGTCCGAGCCGAATTGGCAAACCTCGTCGCATTCGCAGAGCGGATCCGCCACCGCGCATGCACAACCAAGTGAACCAAAATTTCGCTGCTTTTTTCCGAACAGTCGCGAGCAGATTAAAGATGGTGGCACCGTGCACCTGAGAGATTCCCAGACGGTCGGGCATCCTCGTAGATAGAAAACTTCGACTTCATGCTGCGTGGATTCGATTCCAGGTTCCTGCATATGAGCGACTACCGCCTAGAGGACCCATAATTGCCTGGATATGTGGAAGCTATCAGTCGAGTGCCGGCAGGACATATGTGCAATCTTGGCGCATGCTAGCGCCTATTTTATGGATGTGTACAGCCAATGTGCCGGAATGCAGGCTGGACATCATCATCTGAATTTTGTTTTTAGGAATGATCTCAGCTCCTTTCAAAAGCTGGCGCAGGCTACAGAGGTTGGGCACATTCTGGCCACATTGATATTTATTGCTCATTGTTATGTCCAAGACGAGCCTGAATCTGAGCTAGTCCTGCAAGCCGTGCTCGCACGCACCATGCGTGCAGTGATTGCTTGTTGGCTGTTTGGCCTGCAGCGGCTTTGCTTTGCCTTCTTGCTTGCAGACTTCACCGAGGACTTGTCCATTGAACATTTGGCAGAAGCATCTGTTCAAAAAGTGCACTGCTGGATCTTATTTCATACTGGTTTCGAGCCATGTTGAGCTTGTGTGCGGTGCACGTGGAAATCCTGTCTGCAACATCGTGCAGGTACTGTTCGTTGAAAGTGCTCAACTTAGACATCCGGAGCCATCATGTGCATGTCAAGTGTTGCAGCTGTGGAGGGCTGCAGTCTTGAGTCGCGACTTGCAAGCATCTGTGCAGGAACCTTGGGACCACTGTAGGTTCAAGGCTTTCTTTTGTTTGGTCGGCAAGGGGCCCTCAGAGCACGGCAGAGAGCTCACGGATGCCCATAGGACTCCCCGGACTTGGTTTCGCGGCAAACTCTTCTAGCCTTGCCAGACTCGCCTTCGAGCGAGCGCACAGTCGCAGCCACAGACGAACAGCTTGGTTGCTGTGAAGTATTGGGAGGTTCTGAGGCCATTGGTACTATCTCATCTCTCCTACAGAGCGCCATCGATCTCGATCGCTCCGCGATTTGTGACCGACCGCATTCCGACTGGACCTGGTGGAAGCAGTTTTGGGTCAGCATGTTCCGAAGTCGAGTTGTGCAATGTCCATCAATAGTCTATTAAACACATCTAGCGGATTCATATGAAATCTTGTCAAAGAATCACCTGACTTGTTTAGACTTTGGCTTTTTGTCGTTCCTCATACTGCTCTGTGACATTGTCGCCTGTCTTGCTTTCTTGCATGAGCTCTGGGTGCTTGCCCATCAGAAAAGCTTCAGATTTCATCCAATCATCTTCGTCGCCGGCTTAACTAGCACGTAACTATACTATGAGTACTGTGCCTTGGACACGTCGCAGGTGCTCAACATGGCTGTCATCCGACTCTTGGAAATCCGCAGCGGGCTGAATGTGAGAAGACAGCTGCTCATGCACCTTCTGATGGTCTCTGGCCTGTGCAGGCCGATATCGGTCTGGCGCTCAGAGCTGGGAGAGTCTTGACGCCGTCTGTGTTGCATATGACCACAGGCTGCGATTGCCACAGGATGATTTGTGGAAGCGACTGTGCTGACCTTGGCAACCTTGGCCTTGGCACCTCGCCCTCTCGCCCTCGCCAGCGAGCCCCACGCCTCAGGGAGGCCTTGGCGAGCTCGATTGCGACGTGCACGTCGATCGACACGAGCTTCGGCAGGCCGGGCTCCCATCCATTCCTATGCTTTTGCCGCAAGCTGGGCACATCACATCAATGCGTCCATGCTCCAGATGCCGTGCTAGTCCGGGACAGGCCGCCACTCTCCTCTGGCAGTCGCTCCACGACGAGTTGTGGGCATGCTAATGCTCAGGAGCACCTCCAAACATGTCCGAAATGCTTTGATGCCAAGCCAGGTCCCACAGCTCCTCAAGCACAGATCGCCGGAGGTGGCACATCCCTGCAATTGCCGCGGAATCAAGACGTGCTATGGCCATCTGCATTGATCCCGACCAAGCTGCTGAATGCTCGCAGCGGCTTGGATTTTGCAGGCGACGACAGGCGAGAGGGACGCGGTTATGACAGCTCTGCGAGGCGTTCGCTGGAACCCGCTCCTGGTAGCATATGTAAGCATGAGCAAGAAACCCTTCCTGTAGAAGAGTTTTTTGCGATAGATGTAGTGTCGTGCCCGTCGGTCCATGAAGGGTTCGTGCCTGCGTGTGCCGTGTGCCCGCAGCAGGCCAGGACGGCAGTGCATCTGAGCTGAATCAGTTTTATTCTATCTCCTTTACGATCCTTCACGTTTCACTTGCGACAACTAGCCAGCTGCTCTTGCAATACGAGCGGCTGTGCATCGTGAATATCTACATGCATCATGTTAAGTTTTGGGCGATGCCCATCACCGCAGCGACGCTGTTACAAAGTTGCTGGTCGGTGACCCAGTGCAGACTTCTTGGCCGAACACTGCGACCGCAAGCTCTGGATGCTTTGCTCGTGGCTCCGCACTGTCAAAGTGCGCCGGTTGGTGCTGAGATCCCCGAGGAAGTGTGATTAAAGTGCATACCGCACTTTAGCAAGAGCTAGGACCAGCGAACGTCCCGAGTCTCAGAGCAACGGCTTGCAAGCAGCAGTTTGCACGGCAATGGTGCTTCCGGCAACCGGTCAGCAGGGGCTTCAGTGTTCGCAAGCATCGCCGGCCCTACACTTAGTTGTTTCCGTGCCACTGTGGCTGCTTCATAGATCTTGACTAGCCTAGCCAGTTGCAGATGTTGATTCCACCATCTCCAGGAAGATCGTGCGCGTGATTTAAGCTCTCGCTTGCAGTCAATGCCGCCGATCTGCAAGTACAAAGGCCATGACAGTGGATTGATGATGATTGATGACTCAACTTGGCCCAAGTACATATCCATTGACATCAGTTTCGGTTTTGCAGGCTTCATACCAGCTTCCCGGGAGTTGTGCGGTGAAACCTTCACACAGCAGTGCAGGTCACTTACATTTGCCCGAACTTGGTTGTGCATGAGCGGCCCCCAAGCAGACGAAGCGGTCCACGAAGGCCTCAGTGCGCGGGAAACACCGAGAACGGCTGGTGGGGGCACCCCGTTCGAGGAACGATCTGTTTGGATGTTCCGGACACGGCAAATCCCAGCCCAGCAACAAGCGTTTGCCATGGCAGGCATGGGCAAAGACGGGAGTTGGTGCAGCAGGCCTGTCGTGCTTACGGCGAGATCCCTCCCTGTTCCCCACTCTCTGGAGGCAGAATCGTGTGCCAGGGCAAGGGCTTGCGAGTGGACCTGCAGGATGTGCCTCTGGTGTGGCCGGGTAGCCCCCGCATCTCATTCCCTGATGAAGGAACAGCACGCTGCAGAGCAATGCCGTGCTGGGCTGGCACACTCCTCAGCAGCATCTCAGATTTCTTTGGCGATTGTCCGTGTTGGTGTGAGATGTGAAATGAAATAAACACCTGGCATTCCTGTGCACATTCGGCTGTGAACATGTTCATGGCGATGCGTGCTGCCCTAGTTTATTCGAGTGCCTAGGATTGCGCAGTGGCGTAGCATGTGTTTGTTGTGGAGCCTCGGACCCTGTTGCGCTTGAAGGCCACCATCATGTCGGCAAGGGTGCGCCTCAGTTGATTTCTTGCACCTCGGAGAGTGCTAGAAACATGAGCTGGTGCAGGATAAGAGAGCTCCTTTTCTGTTGCGGATGCCTCAGTCACACTTGCTATGGGTGTGGCCGACATGTTCAGAAGCTGGTCCAGGTCAGGCGATCGGCAGCCTCGAAACCAGGTTCCCTGCACAGCTTGACATGCAAGCTTGTGAGCAAAGTTGCATAGCCAGCGCTCGCTGAGGCCATTCAGCTAAGCTACAATCCGGGCAGCCAAAGGAGCATCGAATGGCTCTGCCGGCTATGCCTGCGATTTTTGCCAGTGTCGTCTTGATTCCGCTTTCGCTTCCGAAAGCAGCGAAGTACAGTAGACATGAGCATTTACGCCACTCAATCTTGAACAGGGCGAAATACTATCCAGAGATCGCCAGCTCTGACAGATTCTCTCAGATTTTGTCCGAGGATGTGCCTTGATGTGCCTTGGTTAACTTGGTTGACCCTTCAGATGTACTTTGAGCCTTTGAGCTAGCAGCATCCCAGAATGCCAAGACGAACGTAGTGCTCGCCCGCGTTCAGAAGTTGTTGGCAATGAAGTCGAGAGTAGTGATGATGATGCTTACGATGATCAGAGTGGCGTTGAGGACCTGGACGTTTTTGGATTCTTGGATTTTCTTGTTTTCTTGTCGGTGGGGTCTCTGCTTGTTGGATTTCCGTCCTCTGCTGTGTTGGTTGTGTTCCTGCCGTCTCAATTTCGACTAAGATTATGAAGTTATGTTTCGGAAGATCTGTAGCTGCATGCTGGCATCCTATAGCATCCCACTTCGCGGCCTTTGTCCAGTGTCTGTTTGTGCGCATCAGCTACACTGGTCGCAGTCCTGAGCAATGTCAGGGCACGAGAGCTGGATAGAGATGGCTAGAGATGCTGTGAGATGGGGCATTAGCAGCATGGACATTCGAGACTGTGGAGGACCCGAGCAGACGCGACACGCATGGAGGCATCTGGACGTGTGACTTGCGCCATGTGGATTGAGACGTGCACTGGCAGCCACTGGCAGGCGGCAGGCGCGGTGTCGTTTTGTCGGAGGTTTGACCAATTCCGCCAGGACGGTGCCCGAGCAAAACAATGTCGGAGTGTCTTTTGCAGTGTCGCACTGTCTGCACTCGTGGTACCGTAGTATTCTGTCGGATGGTCGGAGCTCTCTCGCTGCCCGTCGCAAGCAAGGGTGCCGTGAGGCCATCTTGGTTTAAGCGGACTGCCTTTGCAGGATGCCTGGCTTGGAGATACAGTATCTATGGCGACAGGCTGCGACGGCAAGCGAGTCGTTCGCAAATAGCCCGCTCGCACGCAGTAAAACACATGCCGAACACAACTCGTTTTGGCATTACTGACTCGGGGCAAGACAATGTTGCCAACACCGCCCAGCCCAAGCTCCACACTGACAGAACTTAGTGTTTGCTGCGCTGATTAGGCAAGATACTTTTTGTCGATCCTTGTTACGGACTGGGAGGGCCTTGGGGGTGCGGTTTGGACCTGGGACAACAGATCGAGGGCAAGGGCGTAAATCTTGATGTGGTCTACACTTCACGTGTTCACACAACCCTGGCCCTGGTGCAAACTACAGTCAACGCTGCAAGTCGCACATCCTGGGCAATGGTGTCGCCACTTTCGCTGGCGTGAAGGATGTTTGCAGTACATGGACCTCGTTTCAATTTGTTTTGCTATTGTTTCATGGCTCCTTGGACCCATTGGTTTCCCTCGCGCTTGTCCGGGCGAGTCTTTCCTAGGCGTCGACATACTTGAGTTTTTTGTCGACCCTCGCACTTGCAGACATCACGCTTAACAGGCGTGGGGCGAATCGTGCGCATGGCAGGCATGTGGCGCCCGTGGGCCATGGAACGACATTCCCCTTATTTCCTCAACACATTTTGATGGGATTTGTCTCCGGCATGGCAGTCAGCTTCTTCGCGGCTTGCAACTGTTTGTGTGTGTGTGTGTGTGTGCGTGGTCTTTGACTTTACCTTCGCAGGAGAACTATCGCCGTGCCATTTTCGAGGCCATACGGAACAATGCGCTCGCCTGAGCTTTGTTCATCAGGGCAAACGAGAAACGGCTTGACTTCAAGATTGTGCATGAATTGTCATCTGAGGAAATGAGTGCCGGGAGGCGCTGAGTGCTTGACTCTGAGCCTAAAGGTAAAGGTTTCACTGCCTTTTCCCGAGTCTCAAACCACTGAAAGCAGTGTGAGTGTGGACTCGCATTCGCCCATCGACAGAAACCTTCTGAGCAAGACTGTCGTCTTGCGGCTAGTGCAGACTTGGCTGTCTGCCGGAAGCTTGAAAGTCTGGGCCTGCTGCCTGGCGGGAGGAAGCCACCATGCTCAAGTAGGGAAGTGAAGGGGGAGGCCGTGTGGCCCAGCACCCATCCAGGTACATTGTCTGGTGCATGCTGAGTGCATGTGGATGTGCAACCGCCGGGCACGCTGTTGCTTCGCGTTTGTCGTAAAGTCAGATCATTCGAAAACAGGGAGGCTTCGGCCTTTTCGTGTTTGGTGCCCGTACATGGTCCGGGGCTGGCTGGAAAGAGCCCCACTCCCCGCTTCGACAAATCGTCATTTCCGGAAACTATACATACCTGCCAGGGAGGTGTCGCGGATGCCTGTCCAAACTTCAGAAATGAGGGCAAGTCAAGGCCTTAGATCTTGTACCTGGTCAGCAAGCTCGTTGATCTTGGGCTTCAGAAACTGAACATGCTGGATATCTGCTCTTTCAACGGACTCACCGGGATTGATTGCACCGCAGCAACGAGGGGGCGGAAAGTGGGAGAGTGCTCCGTAGTCTGTGAATCATACCCCCCTGCCCCCCACAGTGCTATCCCTAACACTTGCTGCTCCTCTGAGCCCAGCGTCCCGTCCTTTGTGAGTGAGCTGGTGTTGCGAAGCCCCCCGAACAAAATCCCGAATGCCAAACAAAGACAAACCCAGTCCTTGGGCATTCAGGCCAACAGTGCCACAGGAACTCTTTGGCAGGAGCAACGACCACCACTCCGCAGGTAGTGGAAAAGAATCGAATTCCTGTTCGTGCACATTTTCACTAAGCAGAGAACTTGTGCAGTGCACGTGTGCACACAGTGAAAAATTAGGCGTGTGAAAGTCCTTTGTGTTTTGCTCCAATGAGGAGTAAAGAGAAAGGCAGCTGCTGAAGCCGCTGCTTCTCGAGCTTTTCAGCTTCCCTCCACACCCGCCCGGAGGCAATTCTGCGGACCGACCAGTTCGCTTTTTTAGAGGCTTGAGCAGATTGGCTGTTACATGCTTACCAGTTCGGGCCACACCACTCGCGAACTCCTGTTCGTGCAAACTTTTACCCAGCAGAGAACTTGTCCCATGTTGCCGCCGAGGTTCCTGGTATACCGAACAAAACATGGCACATGAATCTGTCACCCGGAATCCAAGCAACTGATGCTGGGAATGCCATATCCTGAAGCACCGCGAATCTTGCAAACACCACTGTGGGTTTCACCGATTCGAAGCTGTGACAAATTGACTTTCGCAGCCGCTACCATAAAGTGCCAGCCCAAAGTGTCGAGCAGGTCGAGCAGCATCTAAAATCAAGCCGCGTGTCGGTTGTTGCCAACACCCAACACAGCATCATGAACCTTCTGCCTAGAGGTGCCCATATACCAGCGATTTGCAAGCTGTTTCTCCAAGGCATCTGCTACGAAGGCCGCCAAGCAACTTCACTCGCAAGCAAGTAAGCAGGCGTTTCAACAGTTTCATTCCATCAATGGGTATCAAATTGCGCCAACACCATGAGCAAAGAACGTTACAGGGACAGAACAGTTCCAAGAGGATCCCCTCCCAGGATATGCACTACGCCGTGGCGGGAACCCGAGCTGTAGCGACACAGAAACCAATTTCCGAGACGTGGCTCAGGCCATTCTGAATTCTGTGCTATATCTCCGCTCATTTAGGACGTGTCGGTTTCCCCAGTTCTTTACGAGCTGTCAGCAGGTGACCAACTCCAAGCACATGCCCATGTGGCTCTAGAGCACAGTCATCAAGATGGCGCCTTTCCTCGACCAGTACTGGGTTGACGGTGTCTGGCATGCGCGGTGGGATATCATGATGGTAATCAAGCGCATGGATGAAGCTTCGCGATTGATTCCTTTCGTGACCTCTAGTGTCGTGGATTTTTTTCACCACTCCGTTTCCTTCCGCGTCAAGGTCGGCGCCGCAAGGAACTCTCCCAGCGGCGGCTCAAGCCCGTCACTGGCGTCGCAGGGGCGCACCGGCATCCCCAGCAAGATCTGGGTGCGTGCTCGCAAAGCGGCAAGCGCCACGATGGCAGTCGGCACCGGTGGCCACCCGCACCCACGCGGCTCGGTCCCGCGCGTGTGTCGTCGGAGCCGTGTCAGCGCTTGGCAGTCAAAGCGCCCGCCCACGTCCGCGGCAGCGTCCGCGCCCGCCTGGCTGGAGCTCCGGTTGGCCTTGACTTGTTGAAATGCCAGCGCTGGCCTCGCCTCGGCAACAGGATGGGGCTTACCAGCGTCGTGTCGACTGCAGTATGGGTACTTCGCCACAGGCCGTTGGCGACGATCTCGATCCTCCGGCCGTCAGTGGCGGGAAGGTTGAGTTCCCGCAACGCGACGGTTGTGGTTGTGGCTACCCGAGCCTCCCTGCAGATGCGCGGGCCCCCGCCGCAGGGAGCCAGCGGTAATTTGACTCGAAGCCTCCGGAGCAGCAGGACTCAAAATTCCTCACTTGGCACTGGATTTTACAATGAGCTGGGTGTCCGGAGCATGGGTAGACTTTGGAAAGACTGCGGCACTACCGGGTATGTCGGCCAAGGGCGTCTCGCTTATGTCTAATCCCTCCTGGTTGTGCAATTGCTCTGTTTTGAGGAAGTGTTGTGCCAGTTTGATATTCCCGACCCTGAAAGGGATTACACGTGTTTTTCATTAGAGACTCGTCCCGAGAGAATCTGCTGGCACCCGACGGTTCAAGACGCACCCGAGAAAATAATGGATTCGAAATGGAAAATGGATCCATTATTTTATTGAGGGCCTGGACCTTATTATTATGGTGCGCCCCCCCCCCCCCCTGCTAAAATAATGGATTCGAAATGGAAAATGGATCCATAATTTTCTGCGACAGAAACCTTCATACTGAAAAAACTGGGGAAAAGGAACCTGGACCCAAAGAAAATAGTAATCATGGCTACCCCCCTGCGAAAATAATGGATTCGAAATGGAAAATGGATCCATTATTTTCTGCTAAAGAGACCTGAATATTGAGGAAATGGAACTGGACCCAGAGAAAATAATAATAATAATAATAATAGTAATAATAACAACAATAGGAATAATAATGCCTTTGCATCGTAGGTTCGTCCTAGCCAGGCGGGATGGAAAAAAATGCCTCCCCCGCCCACCCCGCGCCCTCCCTAAACTGATCATAGTGGCTACGGTCCCCCTCCCCCTGCCCCTACCCCTGCCCCTCTCGTCCACCTTTCTTCATCCCCTTTGTCTTGTATTCACAGGTACCTCGAAATAATAATCATGGCTGCCCCTCACCCCCGGGGTTCTTCAAAAGTTTCGGGTGCGCCCTCCGACGGTTGAAGGCCTCAGCGAATGCTAGGCTAGACTGACGAAAAATCCACAGTCCATGTTTCTTGCGCGTGAGTGGCTGAAGTTGTTTGAGGTGGCCCGGCCACGGCCAGCATGGCATGCCAATTCAGTGAAGGATGGAGTGGCTCGCCACTTAGCCTTGCAGCTTTGCAGTTGCCCACACATCCGCCTTTGAGCCGTGGGTCTCCACAGGAACACCCATGTGGCAGCTTGCCCAGGGCCGCGAGGAAACCATGAGGAAGGCAGGTTGGTGCAGGAAGACAGTACATCACGATGTTTCGGATTTGCAACTCGGGTGGCCCTTACAGGAAAGAGAGGCAAGAGAAGCTCAAGCCGGGGACGTGCTTGAAATTGATAACGAGGTCGCAGTGCAGCAGCTTCTGGAATGTCTCCCTCCATGCGTATGGCAGGCAGCAGGTTTTCGAAGCGTGTTGCTCCGAGATTCCAGTCTCAAGCTGAGCGAGCTCCACAAGGCGGTTCAGCCGAGGTCTTGTACGTGTCGAGAATGGTTGGAGACAAGTACGAGGACTCCAAGGTGCAGCCGCTGCAGTGAACTGAGGGGCATCCCATGGCCTTTGTGCTATGTGAGGTTCGGGGTCCTCGGCGGAAGACGCGAGCTCAAGCCATCAAGGAGTGTTGCCACTGCATGCGGTTGACACCCTCCCTGGACAGAGCCCTGCTCTCGCCCCTGACAGTCTGCAGGATGGCCTCAGCTTGCGAAATGCCTGCCGCGACGCTCCAAAGGCTGGAGAGCGGGACATGCAGAAGTGTAAGTAATTACAGGAATAATGCATCCATCTTGTTCAGAATGTTGTCACGGTGTCAGCACGCAATCAGGATGCAAAGCTAGAAGCGGCACAGAGAAGGCTGCTGCCACGGGTTGTTTCGTCCGAACAGAAGCCCCGACCCTAGGCTAGGGTCGACCCAGATACTGCCTGGGCTTGTTTAAGCTGTCGCAAGGGTAGATTGAGGGTGGGCCTGAGGGCCAGCAAGGTTGGGGGCAGGCCCAGTAGCGGTAGGACTTAGCATGAAATGTCAGGCATACCCACAGCAACCAGAATTTACCTAAGCGGAGGCATTTTGGTGTAGTTTTCGGGTTAGGAAAGCCCGAGCTGGAAAAATCATCGCTATATTTTCATGGGATTTTCATCTATTCTATCTTTGTTGTCACAGGAAAACCTGAATTTATCTTTTTTCCTGGGAATTGAAAGGAAGAAGGTAAGGACAGAACGAAAGAACGAACGAAAGAGGGAAAAACATTGAAACAAACGAAACGATCAAAGGAAGACAGAAAGAAAGGGACCAGGAACGACAGAAAGAAAGAACGAACTAGACAATGAAAGAAGGAATTGGGGGGGCAAGCCGTGCAGGCTTCAAAGAATACGAGTCTTTTGAATCCCATCATGCGAGCATTGTGTTTGCAACTGGCAGGGGGCTCGCCCCTCCAACCCGTCCGCCTTTTTGAGCCGTTCAAGCTTGCTTCAAAGCATGTGAGGGAGCATTCTGTTTGCAAATGGGGGGAGGGGCGGCGCCCCGCAACCCCCCCCCCCCCACCCTCCACCGCTGTTTTAAGTGACACCCATCATGCGAGCATTCTGTTTCCAATGAGGGGGCTGTGGCCCAACCACTCCCCTTTTTTGAGCCGTGCAAGCTTGCTTCAAATTATTTGCCTTTCCTTTCTTTGTTTGAAACCCATCATGTGATCATTGTGTTTGCCGCGCCGCTGCAACCCCCAATCCCCCCTCATGAACATATCGGAAAATAGAGAAGAAATAGAGATGTACCGTTTAAAACATAGAGAAATGAGAAAGTAGGGTTCGTTTGCTTTGTGAAATATCGAGCAAATTAGAAAATAGGTTTTCTAAGACAATATATAGAGATAGAGGTTTGCTCTACTGAAATATCGAGAATATACGTTTATCTCTGAAAACACAGCGAAAATAGACGTGTTCGTCTGGAAATACAAAGACCCCCCACCAAAAAAACGGGTAACAACACACAGAAAGAGCCAGACAACAATCTCCACCTCGAAACTCTTGTGGGAGGGAAGAGCTCTAGAAGCCCGTCGCCTTGCTCATTCTGAAAGGATGCTATATGCCGCTGTCATGGTATTCGCGCAAGCCGGGAATGTTCTGTGTCAGGCAAGGCCCCTTGGGGCTTTGCTGACCTACAGGCAGCAGCTGCTCAAGCTGCAGAAGCTGCAGAAGCTGCAGAAGCTGCTTGCTGTTTGTGTGGATGTGGGCCTCCGAGATCGGCTCGACGGTTTTCGCTCTTTGTTCAGCGGGGTGGTCATGCAAATTTAGCCTCTGGCCATGTCATGCTCCTCTTAAAGGTTGTTTTCACTCATCTTCTGTATGGCGCTCCACGAACTTCGCTTTGACCAGTGCGGCGGTACTAGGCTCTTGTAGAAGACAGATCTGGTCATCTTCGCATGTTTGCTTGATGTGCTCTACTGCAAAGCGGCATCCTATTTTATCCTATTCGAAAGGGCAGCTCTGTGTACAGGCGTGTCAAGAAACATTGCCAGGCGTCGACGGCTGCCAATCTGTGGCAGTTGAACGTCGTTCGGCACAAAGTTGCAGCCAAAAGTGCTCCTATCCCAACCGACCCTTCGGTTGCTGGATGTTTTTGATAGAAGACAGATCTGGCAATCTTCGCCTTGTTGATGTTGTGTCAGACAGATGCCTTGCCCAGCAGCGACAAACTTCAGAAGGTTGCACGTGTGCTGACGCAATTTGAAGTGAGCTTCGCGATGTGTTTCGGCAAGTTTTGATTATTTTGGTTTTCCCAATTTTCCGGTGTGGCGAAAATTAAATCTCCGCTTTCAAAAGTGGTGTAGGGTTTCAGGAAAGGGTTTGCCTTAGCCTGCCCCAGCCTGCCCCGCTGCTCGCAGGCCTGCCCCTACCACTGTAGCCCGAGCCTCCTTTTGGGGAGCGTGTTAGGTCTTGTCAATAGGTTTACCCTAAGCCAGGGCACGGGGCTTCTATATCCTGGTGGCATGCCCTCATCCAGACATGTGAGAAACAAATCGGTGTGGAGGTCTGTAGAGTTGATGTATACGTTCTGGAAGCCAGAGGCGCGAGACCCGCATCTTGCAGCATGGCACACATGGACAAGCTTCAAGCTGCCAAGCTGCAAGGAGCTTCCCAAAGAGGACTTCGACTTCGAAGAGTCGGTGGAAAAGCCAATGAGGCCCAGCAATGTCTTGTGCGGCGGCTGACATCATAGTGCTACATATCCGAACATGTGGTCACACATTGTTCAGGTCAATTGCTTGTAGTTCCCTTCTGCCCCTTTTTTGGCACGATGGGGCGGGGTTCGGGTGCTGCTCATCATCAGCGTCCGGTATACCAGCTGCACGGCTTGCCACGGTTCTTGTTTCAGCATGTGTTGCTTGTTTTGCCCCGCAGCCCTGAATCACCCCCCCCCCCCGCCAATAGAGTTTGTTTGGTTTGGGGTTGAGGTTAAGAGTTCTCCACATAATTGGGGTTCGAGGGTCTGGCTAGATTTGAGCCCAGTGAGAAGAGGGCTGTTGCAAGCGAGGCCAAGCATTGCTGTAGTTACACGCGGTGCGTGTTTCATGTTTGTCAGAACAATATCTTACAGATGGGAGCTGGCGATATGCCTGTATCATTTTTTGACACATCCACAGCGAATGCCGAGTTTTCCTGTTTTTGCATTTCGCATTTAGCTGCCTGCAGCCGTGGGATGCCGGGCGGGCATGGCCAGGGAAGACGTCGCGCGGTAGAATTATGCCCAATCCCCAAACCCATGAGTCGGACTCTATATTGTGCATAAATCTCCAAATGAGCTCAAACAGATATGATTGGGGCATGCTGTCCACGTGTGAGCCCCGAAACCCTGAATGCAAATTTCAGAAACTTGTGCTGTGGGCTTTCGGCCGGAGCCTGCCATCGCTTGCGAAGAGACTTTAACTCGATCCTTGAGGAGGGAGTTTCAGCCCCAAGTTTCCGCACAGAAGATCATGTCTTGACACGCGAGGGCAACACCTGCCGTATATATTGTGGTGTCAGTCTTTCCAGTTCGGGTCAGCCTGCTTGAACTAAGAAAGCTTGCATCACTTGTCGTTTATGACAGGGAAGTGTATGTATGTGTATATGTATAT